GACTAGCTTCAGACTAGATCTATGCTCCCTAGTAAATAAAATTGTTACACCATAACTTGCAATGAAAAACTGCAATAGTTTGCCCATTGTTGTAAATTAATACCTTGGGTCAAATCTGACTCAGTTGTCTAGTTTCAAAACAAGGCTTAACTTAATTTTAATTGCATCTTACTTGCATTCTTTTTGGCATCCTGGCATTTGAATGTTGATTAGACACCACACATTAGATTGATGTGAATTTTAAGGGGTTTTTTTCTTTGTCTTTTTCTCTCTCCATTTTTTTAAATTGACATCAGTAAGATACCGTTGTAATTGTCAATAGGAAATTATTGATATTATTAGATTACATCTTTATTCTTTCTTTGAGGCAAATGGTCAAGCAATTACAATCCTTTGTACTTCTAATGCACCTTTCAATTTAGGAACGTAGCCCAGATCCTCAGCCCAGTATCCTGTTAGTAGACCCAAAATGGGCCCAGTGCAGGGGGTGGGGAAAGAAGAGGAAAATCTGTTCAGTGGCAGGCTCTGCCTCCAATAAAATCAAAGGAATTGCTCAGAATTTCCAATCTTACTAAGAATTTGAACCCGGACAATCACATAAATCATCCAGCAAGTCATCTTGAGTTGGGAAACCAGCTTTGATTCAGGTTATCCTGTTCCTGTTGTTCCCACAATCAACATGAATCTAATGTAAAGCCAAATCAGTGAAGTGCCCTATTAGTGTTGCTTAACAAATTACAAGGAGAGGCTTAGACTGAAACTCCTTGGACCTTTTCAGGACTTCAGGTCAGGCACTAACTTTTTCTTTGGTCAGGAACTATTCAACACTTCTAACTCAGTCCCACAAACACTATAGTGTCCTTCTCCCTATGATTTGAAGGACTAAACTTTACTCCCTCCCCCTGGAAATTAAATCCAAATGGTTTCTGGTCTTTGGTAAGGTGACCAGAGTTCTCTAACTACATTCAGAGAAGAGTATTAAGATCTTTTTTAATAACTATATTCAAGTTCCTCTTTAAAACTCATTTCTTTTGCAAGACTAACAGGGAAATGACCCAAACTGAATGATTCACTAATTATTTTTTCTTCTGGGTTTCCCAGTGTGACCCAGCCTCACAGAAGGAATATAGGCCTTCATGTTTCAGAACTTATACCAAGCTCATCAGTGGGTGCTAGGAAGAAACTTTTTTTGGAGCAGGTTGTCCCATAATATTCCACTACAGTGGCTATTATACCAGAAGACTGCTGAAGCTGATGGACCTCTGCTCTGATCCAGTAGGGCAGTTGCTACATTGCATGTTTCTTTCTACTAGATTTTAAGTACTTGGGGTTAAGTGCTGTCTTAAGTTAATGTCTTGTAGTAATGAGCACATTTGCTCCCTGTTTAAGGAGTAGTAGCCTATATCTTCATAAATACTCACTAGGGATAGCTAAAAATATAGTAGTTCCAGTTTGTGAACAATGTAGACAAAATTTGTATTCCTTTAAGAACAAAACTGTACTTTTTGATGCAGGCTTTTTTGATGCAGGTATTTTTTGATAGGCTTCTAACAGCCTAAAAGGCCATTGACTATATTAACATGGTGTCTCTCTCCCTACCATTCCTTTCTTCCAACCAGAAATTCTATGTTGAACCTGAGATACTTCCCCAGTTAAAGTTGTGTTGAAACCACTATATTTCTGCAAAACATCTTTGAATCCATGAAAAAGTTGTCAAATGTGTCAGTGAGCTCTCATGTTTATCACATATCTATAATCACATTATGATATATATTTAAAGTAGGTAACTAGTTTTAAATTGTTTCTATTTTGTGTTATCCCTTCTGTGTTATCACTCTGAGTTCTTTTTCTAGTTTGTTTTCCATATTTTTGTTTTCATTGTCTGTATAGTACTCTAGGTGGTTTGATTGTAAAAACACTCTAGGTAAAATGATTACTAATAACTGATGTAATTAGTACCAGAAGGGATGCATTTCTCATGAACATTTTTCAGATTTTAATTCTATTTTTCAGTAAGACTGACTGACTGTTTATGTAATCTGTGTATATATACACAGTACAACTTCTATTACCCAAATGGCATATGGGAAGATGCATAAATTCAGTTAACTGAGAATAGGTATAACTGATGGAATTTTCATTGTAATTAAAGTAGGGTACAAAACCTTGTTTCAGAGGATGGTTATTAGAACAATTAAAGTTGCACTATGTATACAGACTGAACTGTTCAGCAGATGTGCCAGTTTGACAGGACTAGAAACTGATTTTTTTTTTTTTTTTTTTTTTTTTTTTTTTTTCAAAATATTTTTTTTTTTTTTTTTTTTTTTTTTTTTCAAAATATTTTTTTTTTTTTTTTTTTTTTTTTTTTTCAAAATATTTTTTTTTTTTTTTTTTTTTTTTTTTTTCAAAATATTTTTTTTTTTTTTTTTTTTTTTTTTTTTCAAAATATTTTTTTTTTTTTTTTTTTTTTTTTTTTTCTCCACAGAATTACTGAATTAGTATGTCTTTTATTTTTCATAACAAATCCAATAGATTTCCCTATTTCTTTTGTTATTTCCCCTTTCTGCCTCTTCCTATTGTGCACTGTGTACAAAACCTTTTCACATCAGTGTCCCTGCACATGTGGTAGCAAATGGGTTGCTGCAAAGAATAACTCTGTCAAATGGTTTCTACAAGGTCATTGGAAAATTCACTTTGATAAACTGAACATACCAAAAAATGAGTGTGTCCATTCAAAATAAAGGGAAAGTCATATGTATAATATCAAAGACAATGACCTTAAAACTGTTAAAATTGCATTGGCTATATTTGTGCTGTGCTCACATCATACCTTGAGAGAGAGATCATCAAGCTTTCTCTATTGATATAAAGTTTTAGACTGCATCATTCTATTTTGTTTAACATCACAGTGGTAAAAAGGACATATTTGATTATGTTTACATATTTATGGTTTAGAGATTAAAAGCTTCACTTAAATCTTATAGTGCTTTTCAACAGTAGATACTTTACAGAAGAGATCAATATCATTAATTACAGGAACAATTGTTTTCAACAAATAATACATTTGCAGGAAACTAGAATTGCTGGAGATCAGAACTACTAGCTAATTTGGATCGGCTCTGGCTAATCATTACTGTCAAAAATAGAGGGAAAGTTTTGAAAATTGTTTCATTTTGGAAATATCAAAATATTTCCTTCCTATATTTACTAACAATGTTTTTTAAAGTTTCCTTTTCAGAATGACATCATTTACACACTGACGTAAATTAGAAAAGAGAAGATATTTAAAAATAGTTAAATAACCTGCAAATGAAAGAAAATGTTTGATTTTCTTTTTCCTTTCAACTAAGCTTTAAAAACATTATGCTTCAGTTTCACCAGACCAAGTTCTCCCCCCACAATATATTTATTTTTACACTAAATTGAAAATGTTATTCATTCTGTCTAAGACTATACAAATGGGGAAACCAAGGCATAAGGCATTAAACTGACTTGCCAAAGCTAATCTAAAAGACCACTAGTAGATCTGGGAATAGAATATAGATTTTCTAAAATTACTGTAAAAATACACATACATGTACATACTTTAGAAACTAGACCCATATACAGACTAGGAGTGTAAAGAATCCTGGAGACAAAATACTAACCTTCTACCTAACCAACCAGACAATCTACTCGGAACTGTAAAAGTTTGTTGATCTATCTCAAGGTGAGAAGCCAGGTAGTCTGGCATGAGAAACAGGGTGGGAAGTTGGCATTCTGACCCTTAGTAGGGTCTGTACTACTGCCCAAAGACTGTAATCACTTAGCACAGTATCTAATCTTGGCTTTGCCACTGACTTACTACACAGATCACTACGCATCTGCCCAATGGGACCACTCTCAAAATACAGTACAGTTTAAGATGTGTGTATTTTATCTTTCTGAGCCACAGCCAAGCTTGTATAGGTGCAAATTGACTGAGCTCTCTTACCCCAAGGTTAAGTTTCAACTCTTTTATCCATTATGCTGTCTGCAATGCTTGCCTCACTACTGCAGTGTAGTGAAGATTAATTTCACTAGAATACTGAACAGGTGGCTTTGCCAGAGCTGGCTTTCATTTTTGACAAGTTCAGGAATGCTTGGAAGTTCCAGTACCTAGTAAACTGTTACATAACGGACTACATAATCAATATGGGGAATCATAGCATATATTAAAGCTTTTACCTGCTACCTCATAAAAACAATGATGAAATTATATGACTTCTTACCAGTAAAGAGATCCAATTTCACTAGAGTTAACCCAACCAGAAAAAGTGTGGGTAGGTGTGTGTTGTAACAGATTATATTCACTTCTGGAGAAACATTGCATTATAGGTCTCTAAGGAAACACTCACTTACTGAAGTAGTAGTATTTCTTCCTTTATTTTTTTTATGAGAGATCATGTTCGCATAGGTCCTTATGTGCAGTGACATCAGTGGAAATTTTTTCACTGACTTCAAAGAGCTTCAGGCATGTACACAGCAATGTAGTTTTATACTATGGAGAAATGTACAGGAGTCTGCAAATTCTCTTTTGCTTGAATTAAAAACAAATCTAAATTTTCTACTTCAACAAGTATATGCATTCTATAGAAAATGGTATCTCTTTTATATAACCAGTGAGTCTTAGATATTACTGAAACAGGAATATCTTGCACTTGTTTCTTTTTTCTGTACAGTTTAAGCATCACACTGCCTCTTTAAGGTATAAGTATTATTACTTCATTTAAAGCTGAAGAAATTGAGGCACAAAGAATAGGTTACAAAACTTGCCAGTTTCAGGTTTACAGCTCCAAAGATTATTCATTAAACTTAGCAAGTATAACAGCCACTCATGTGTAAACTGCTGTACTACCACTCAAGGCTGAGCCCTACTGAAATCAGTGACTTGTCATTGATGTCAGTGGAATCAGGATATAGCCCAAAGGCTCTATAAGCAGACTATAAGGTGAAAGAATAAAATATGTAGCTTTCCTTACTTTCCACGAGTAGTTTCAAAGCTGGATTTGTGGACGCTGGCATTCTGCTTGGTGCTGGTGCTGTTAGTGCTATAGAATGACGGCCTGGGAGATCTGTTCCCTGTTGCAATTTGGCTTTTGGTGACCACTTGCTGGGGAGGTACCTTTTTAGGTATGCTCTGTGGCAGTGTCCTTGTGCTGCTGGATTGGGTTCTTGGCTTAGCACTAGTATGACCACTGGCACGATTCCTGCTGGGCTGGGTTGTTGGAGTGGAGGATTTCTTTGCCTGGGTCCCTGGCAATGCTTTCAATCCCAGAACCTCTTCTGTGGGTGCAGAGGTGAGCTTTTCAAGATGATCCTGTGATGCACTCACTGCAGATGCTTGGATCTGAGATGGGATAAATGTTGGTGGTGTTGTCTGGTTTCTGAAGCTGTGCATTGCAGCAGAAAGTGAAATAAAGTCTGAGTGGCTTGCTTGGCTTTCACCATCCCCAGCTGGCGTACTAACTGCCAGGCTGCCAAACTGTAAATGCGACAGAAGCAATAGGATGATTATCTTCTTCATCCTGTTTGTTAGTAAGAACCCCAAGATGCTTTACATGTATCCCTTGTGCAAGTATCCAGTATCTTTCCTTAGCCACTGCTTTCACAGTGATCCTACATAGAAAGAGCTCTGCTGCTTTCCTTTTTGTAGGAAAGGAAACAGGTTTTAGTCTCTCAAAATGGACAAAGGAAGCTTGATTTCCTGTTTCTGTGGATTCCTCTACAACCTGTGACCTCCCTGGAGTGTTGAAGCCTGGAAAGCCTTAGGGGAAGGAAGAAAGGATGCTCTGCTGAAGCTACAGAACTAAGATTAATGACACAAAACAAATGTGGGAAAATACTGTCAGTGAAGTCAGTTGGGGGGGGGGCGGGAAATCAAAACTAAGTAATTTTCCTTTTGCGTGTATGTACATAGAGAGCACAAGTGATTTGTCAACCATGCCACTTGGCTGTTCATGTATGTGAATTTGGTACTGAGAAAAGGACTTGGATATCCTGATATCTTCCACCTCAAGGAAGGTGGTGTGCTTCTTGTTCTGATCTGAATGTTCAAGCAAACACGTTATGAAAGAATGGAGCTGGTAAGGGAGAGATGTCCAGTGCACAAAACTGAGAAATAATAGTGAATATAGTAAAAATATTTAATGTAAAAACTAATCCCCATACCATTTGTTATTCTGCACTCACAAATCCTACCTTTAGAACACTACCCTGGAGAACCAAGGTATTTTGAATCTTATCAGGATGTAAACACTGGCAAAAAAGGAAAGACTGTATTAAAGCTTATCCCCTAAAGCCCTTATTTTGTTTTTAACAATTGGGTTTAGTCCCTAAATTTGCCATACTTCAATTTGAGGGACAAATTGAAATGATATCACATTTTTGGTTAAAAAAATAAATAAATAAAAATGAAACAAAATTGCCATCTTTGACACAGGATACACTTTTGAATGAGCTCTTTTTTTAAAGTTTTCCTAATTTTCCCCCTTTTATTCTCTCTGAAGAACCATAATGACTAGAAGTGTCAGTTAACATCATGGGCATCTCCAACACAGCGCAGATAGGCCCTTTCAAAATAACTTAATTTTAAAAACAAGTAGACCTATTGACCATTCTCATTATAATCTGGTTTATTTCCAAGATAAAAAAAGACACTAGAGCTGCTGAATTGTACTAGCTACTTTCGAGTCTCTGGAGTGCTGGGAGGCTATGAATATTTGAGGAAATGGAAAAAAGTAGAGCTATAGAGGAGAGGGCATTCTTCTACAGTCATGAAGGGTGTTGGCTGTATATGTCTGTGTGTCTGTGACATTTTTATAGTGTTTCAGTTCCACAGTGCATTAGGCAACAGTGACCTAAGAGGGAGCTGAGGAGGAAGGGAGAGCAGAAATTGTGAGACTATCAAAGTCAGCAGGGCGTTGGGGACTAAGTGAGGAGGACCAGAGGTAAGGAAGGAAGGGACAGTGAGGCTATGTACACTAGGTTGATGCCCATTGTGCTAAAGAGTCAAGGTGGCAGCATAGACAGACTCCATTTGTGCTGTTCTCCCATTCATCCTTAACAGAAAGCAGAGCTAGAGAAGTCCAGTATCTCTGTATCAAGTCATTTGTGCATCATGGGCTTTCTACAGTACTGGCAGCTCACAAGCTCTCTGAAGAACTGAAGCAATGTCTAGTAACTCTTCAAATACCAATATGGCAGCATACAGACATTGAGTACCCTACTTACAGTATCTTTCCCACAAATTTTCCCCCTCAGCCCCTAGCATTCAGTGCCACATTCACATTTTCCCTTCTCATTCCCAGTTGTTCCTCCTATGAGTGTCCAAGGAGAGAGAGCTGGTAGGTACAGATTAAAACCATGAAAATGCATTGATCTCTTCTGCCATATTTCTTTCTGAGCTGTCATTGGATGAATCCACAGCTCAGTGGCCTACCCTCCACCTGATTTATGCTTTCCTTATCTCTATTTCCAGTCCTCAAGCAACTTGCAGGTCCTCTTCTGGCCCTCTCCTGGAATCGTCTTGCCATTCTACCTTCCGCAGTTTTTCCTCCTTTACTGATGAGACAAGATTCTCTCACACTTTTTTGTTTTTTCAGTTGCCTAGAGATGCTGGAATAAGCTACCATGTAGGGTTTCTTTTAAGTGAATAGTGTTTTTCCTACATTAAATTGGCAGGAATTTTACATTCCTTAGACTCTTGCTAAAAATGTACTTTCTACACACACAACTGCACAAAATTATCAGGTGGAACAGCAAAGGGCACAGTAACAAGCACTTTAATTTCTATAAGTAAGGAGATATGCTGGGAGGGTGGGAGAGAAACCAAAGGAAAGATTATACAATGATCAACTAGGCCTGGGTCTAAGATTCCTTGTCCCATCACTTCTCCATGTATTTTAAAGGGGGGTGGGGAGGGGGAGGTTGGGTGCATGACTTACTTACTGCTGTTAGGGTGATTGGCAAAACTGATTACTTTCTCACCAATTAATGAGAGATATTATTAGGTAAAGTGAGATCAAAGCTGAAGGATGGTTTTGAGGTTAAAGCATGGGATTAGGACCCAATACCACAGATTGTGTGAGCTCAGGCATGTCACTGCATCTGTCTTTGTCTTGTTGTCCCCAGACAAGGATAATAATACTGCCTTTCTTTTAGCTTTCACTGCATTATCTATGCAAGTTAATCTTCTGAGGGGCAGAGCCAGCTTCTTGTGCATGGCTCTGTGTGTGTACATGCAGAAATGGGAGTGGAAGGGATTCTGATCGTGGTGCTTGGGCCAGGTGCCAGATGATTGGAAGGTAGCAAATGTGGTCCCCATCTTCAAGAAGGGGAAGAGGGAGGACCCGGGCAACTATAGGCCCGTCAGTCTTACCTCAATCCTGGGGAAACTCTTTGAGAAGATCATCAAGGAGCACATTTGTGA